CAGACTTTCTATTTTAGTTCAAGATGTTTACATTACATCACTTCAGTCTAAATATCTTGATCTCAAAGATGTCTCAAGTAACTTAAAAGCCTACTGGCCCATAGTTTCCTTCCTTCCTTTCAGTCATTCTAATTCTATCTCTCTTTCTCTTCCAGCATTCCTGAGACTAGAGAGAAATTCCCAGTATCCTCTGTCAAGGAGCTTTGTTCTTACTGTGAATGTCATTTAACCCTGAAAACAAAAGCAAAAAAACACTGGTAAATGTACAAATCCTTTACCTTTTCTGACCAGAAGCATGGGGTATGAATGTAGTCTTAAACACATTCAATTAGTTTATCTCTGTTTGAAGGCCTGAAGTTGGAAAGTCAGTGAAATGGGGTTTTCATTGCAGTCTTCGTGTAAAGTCTTGATTGGTTCAATTAGTTAGTGCTCACATTAGTTTTTCTAATTCACTTAAGTATTGAACGAGTCCTTTTCTGGGGTTAATGCCACATAAAGTCATTACAGCGAGCCATGTCCAGATGGAATTAAGTGTGATAATCTGTTTTTAATCCCAATTCCAATCCGTTAGCCAAATGAACGCCAAGAAAAGTAAAACGTCAACAACAAATAAGACCTTCCTGGAATCAGTCTGAGGGCCAGCGTGTGAGATGTCACTGCTAAAGAACTGGCTCTGTGTTCACAATCCCATAATACATTCGCATTATCCTGACGTAAGCCGTTGACTGCTATTTAATTACCATGACCTTCAGCATTCACACACCTCCACTCTATCTCAGAACCTTATTACTGCTGCTCCTGTTGTAGCGGCAGCTGAATGAGGGATGAGCCCGAGATGAATGGTAGTAATATTTACATCCAAAGGACCTCGGAGAATGAAAGACTGAATCACTGATGGTCAAAGGGTCAGAAGAACGAGGTCTTCATATCTCATCTCAGCCCAAAAACATTCCTGGGCCCTCATCCTGGGCCCTCATCCTCTTATTTATAGAAAGGTAATATTTGGGCATGGAAGTGCCTTTTCATATCAGATTCAAAGTACAAACACTCCACAAAATACACACACACACACACGCACAGATGTGCCGACTTGTATAAATGTGATGAGATGTGCTTAGAAGACATACAGACAGATAGACAGACTCGGCGATTTATTTGATCAGGTTTTAGGAGACCTATTGCTGATGAAAAATAAATTAAGCTTTGATTTGGATATGCTAAGGGAGGATTCTCACTTGTTTCTCCAAAAAACAATCCTACAGCCAGGAATTCTACTTTGAAACATGTCTTTCCTGTCGGAATAACTGTTTTTGTTTTGGTCTGTGTGATTCCGCCCACTGCCAATTTACCCAGAAGTATTTTGACACCCAGGGTTGCCACTTGGCGGAAAACACATCGCAAATGAACTGGGTCAGAGATCGTTGAATCTACCCGACGTAAAATCAACTTACAACAACATAGCTTTGTTGCCTTCCACTGTCAATTGTGCTCATTCCTCTTATGTGTCCGCACTCTGGCACAAGATGCCTCAATCATGCCATTGTGTGATATAAACTGAATTTACAGCAATACCATATTTGGAAGATGTATTGTGAAGTTTGTGTGCTGGTCTAACACAAATTGCATGAAAAACTACAATGTTTCCTAAATATCTACAAGCATGTGATATTTTTATGCTTAAGTACATTCAAAAAATTATATACAGCACCTTTAAGTTTGACTTTGCTTAAGTCAGGGAGTGCTAAACCTTCATAATAGGATGAAGCAGAGATCCTCCTGTCATCACATTTTAACGGAAAGAATGACAAATGGTATCAAATCTGCAAAACAAATCAGAATCTCATGTCCATGATGGATCTCAAAACAACAATTAGGAATGAGAATGGCTAACTAAAGAACAACCAGATGCCAGATTTACTAAACATCCTTAAGAATAAAATTCTTTTTAAGTTTTATTTTTCTAACTTAAGTACAAAGTTAATAATATTTTGTATTCCCAAAAACGTTTTTTTAATAATGTCCTGATTCCCCCCCAAGAACACCTAAGATGAATTTGAATTCCATGTTTTTGAAAAACACCATAAATAACCCCTACAAAGTTAAGATAACCTAACTTGTCTTAAATCCCCCAGGTATGTCTAATGAATTTATCGCGATGTGTTCACTCTAGCAGCATGCTCATAGACATACAGAAAATATCAATATACAAATAAATATTGCAGTGTTTCCAGGAAAGAAAAATATAAACTACTGACGTAACTGGGCCTGCAGAAAAAGCCCACAGATCCTTGCTGACACATACTTGAACCAATAAAGTCCTACTCTAAAGGAGGTGCTGCCTTTAATACAGAGGTTAAAGCACTTACATGAAAGTTGTGTTTTTCTGCTTTGCCATGGTGAACCATTAACTACTTATACTTCGCATGAAGATCTGCTGGTAGTACTTCATAGTGCAACAAGTAAGGGGTCAGAGAGAGGTGAGTACAACTGACGTACTGCAGAAACATGGAAAGACAGTTAACCATTAATACCAATAAGTTATTTTTATAGTAATGAAATCAAAGGCTGAAATGCATGCTGAAGATAAATGATACTCCATTAGTTTGTCACTAGTATTGCGTGTTATTGTCTCCTGAACATTCTTTTTCCCTTTACTTGACCGCTGAGGCATGCCGTGCACGTGTGTGTGGCTGCAAGTGCACGTTGGTCAAATATGAGCGAAGAAGCAGATTGCTTTTAGTCAGTAGGGGGAGAAAACACTTCACCCTTCATTCAGACACATTCTATTCTCTCTCTCTCTCATGCTGTGAATGTGCACGTCGACGTGTGCGTGAGTGTTTTAAACAGTTCATGTTACAGGGTAGGGCTCTGTATATCACCAATAGTGGCACTAGTAGTGATCCACATAGCTTCAATATGAAGGAAAAGTGCTAAAAACATTTCTGTCTCTTATCTTTCCCCTCTCTTTCTCTTTCTTTCTCTCTCTCTCTCTCCCTCCCCGCCTTTTTCCATCAATAAAAAATGAGGATTACGCACATCTTCCCCTCACAGTTCTCTCCTATCCTCAGATTTGCGCAGGGCAAACTAATGAGCATATCACACACACACACACACACAGAATTACATTTATAAAGACATGAAATGGCATGAAAACAGACTCTCAAAGTTCCTCCAAAAAGACTGACAGATACATTCATAGCCTCTCTCAGTGGCACTCAAGAAGATGGCAGCGCACCTGCGAATACACACAACGTACCCTCTTGATGATGTCTTGATGTTTTTGTTTGATGACTGAGCGTCACTATAGTGTGCTAGAGAGAGCTTGAGTGTTCCTTGTCTTTGCAGATCCCATTTCCCATTAACTGCATGGTGCTATGCTCGCATGTCATCAGTGCGCCAGTCTTGCTAATATCTCCCACTTTATCGGAGGGCTTTGCAAATCGTTTCCTGAAAGTGTGCTCTATCCCTAGGCCAAGGAATTAAACTTTTCTCCTGTGTAGTGGCATTAAAGTGTGGAATTGAAGAGAGACAGTAAGCCTCTAGATATAAACCCACACTGTAAAAAATGTTAAACCAGCACAACAAAAAAAATCTTAGTACTAATTTCCCCTAGCTTTTTCTTGTTCACTCAACTTTTGTAAAAAAGCAGTTATACTGACTGAAAAAGAGTTGTCAAGTCATACAAAAAATGTTTAGCTGAGTTACAAGATTGTTAGTTTTCTTGAGATGTGCAACGATTCTATAACAAACCTTTTTAAGTTGTGCCAACTCAACATCTTTTGTCTGTAGAACTCAAATACCTGAAGTTGACTGAACAAAAAAATGCTTCTGGAAATTGGTAGTAAGAAATAATATGTTACAACTGAAAACTGCAATAACAGTGTCTAAGTCAAAAACTGAAAACACTGACACAATATTAACAAAACATTTATTCAAAAGAGCAATTTTTTAACGAAGTGTTTTCAAACATTTGCCTGTTTAAGGCAATTAAACAGGCAAGTATACCCATCATTACAATCAATTTCTCTTAAAGTCAGAGCTGTAACCACCATAGACATTGAGGAGGACAAGTCTAATCTGCCAAAAAATTTATGGCCTAATGGTTAGAGAGTCGGACTTGTAACCCAAAGATCGGAGATTCGAGTCTCGGTACTGACAGGGATTGTAGGTGGGGGAGTGAATAACCAGCGCTCTCTTCCAATACCAATATCTTCCAATGTTCAAGACATGGTTACAGCCTTGCTTAAATGGATAGTTCACCCAAAAGTGATAATTCCCTCATTTATTCCCTTATGTCTCAAACTCATATTTATCTTAAAAGTTTTGAAACCCTTTTACTTTTCATTTTATGGATGTAAACATATCAGTCTATGAAAATATCTTTGTGTTGGAGCAAGGCCCCCCCCCCAAAAAAAAAAATGGCTGCTCACTGGATTACAAAAAGATTTAAAAGTTACATTTTTAGGCTGGTCTGCCTCAGCAGTTTACCAGCAATGTTGTCAATGTCAAAACGATTGAGATGGCCAATCAAAGCAAAATTAAAATTAAAATCTAATTTGACCTAGGCCTATCCCCCCCCCAATGTTCAAGACATGATAGAACAGAGTAAATTATGATACATTTTCATTTTTGGGTAAACTCTCCCTTTAAATATTGCTCACATGAAACAAAATTTCATATATTGCACTAACCTGCATCAATACATTAGAACTGCTATCATCATAATATAAAAATCCTGTAATTCCATGCTTTTTAAATTCACAAATATTTAAGCCAAGGTGATTCAACACTGCAAGAGTGTAGATATAAAAATCAAAGCACAAATACACTCTTTCTAACAAAACATGGTGCATTATGTGCTAACCTGATGTAAACACTTGATGAAAACAACCCACATGAAAACCATGTCAGCACCTTTATTAAATATAGCCACACATTTCATAAAAAAATGGTGATCAATGAAAATATGAGAAGAACAAAATTTGAAAACCTACCAAATAAATCTTGGAGATTTGGTTCCCTGAGGTAAAAACGGGGGTCTCCATAGAGCCATGTTGTGTCTGTAATGGGGTGTCTGTTGTCTGTAGAAGGGGGAAAAATTATAATTTACTTTTGTATGATTCCTTACAGATCATAATTGGGTGTCAAAAATACTGAAAATGTATTAGGGATGGACAAAGGGTCAGAAATGGAGGAGTGCTTGTGGCAACAAATCCACAAAAACTGACTGTAAAAATCTTGAAAAATTGTAATGCTGGGACAAAAAAGTAGTAAATTTATGAGAAAAAAAACAAGCAGACAAAATAACTGTCAATGAAAGTGTATAACCGCTACTTTCAAAGGGATTCATAAGCATAGGAATTATACTGGCTCGTTAAAATGGTTCAGGATAATTCTCATTTCAATTTTTTTGTCTACTGAATACAAACTCAACTCAAACTCAAAGTTGTGTTTGTGCACTGTAAGAATAAAACACAAAACACAGAAAAACAGATAATGTCTTGGCAGAAAATTACCAGTACATTTTCCATTAAATTTATGGACATTTCCTTCAACCATAAAACACTACATGCAATGCGGAATTCACAACACAGGTAAAACACATGTGTAAAAAAAGAAAGAAAACAAAAACAAAAACAAAAAAATACAGAAAATTGTCTTTAAGTTTTCCAAAATACAAACATTGTGAAAATCACACAGGTCACGCGCGATGCAACGCAATGCGTAAAAAGACAGTATAAGTCATTATAATCAGTAATTATGTCCCCACTGGATGCAACAAATGCCTCGTTTGTAATGGGTTTTATGTTTTTGCCTCGTAGCTCCGGCCGCAACAGTATGTGAGGGGCGTAACATTTCCGTCTCACGCTTGAGGTATTCGGCCAATCACAACGCACTGGATAGCTGGCCAATCACAGCACACCTTGCTTTTCAGACCGATGAGCTTTGTAAAAATCGACGCGTTTCAGAAAGGCGGGGCATAGAGGAGAAACAATAATTTACAGTATGTGGAAAATAATGTGTTTTTTTTACTTTAAACCGCATAAACACATTTCATTACACCAAATACACAAAATAATGTTCTTTTTAGCAGCATCATATGACCCCTTTAAATGTAGCATGCACTGCTCTTTTATCAGAATTTATGTGGACCCCAAGTAGTTGAGTTTTTAACGCACCTGGTTTATTGAAAGTGCAGACGGAATCAGGGTTCAGGCACAAGGGTACACCCAATGCTTGCGCCTGTAATGTTTCAGCAGCAGATTTTGACAAGCGCGGTGTGTTTCAGCACCTACAATGAATTAAGTGTGCTCTCAGGATCTGTATAAGGAAATACACAAATGTGAATGATCAGGTTAATAAAATGCAAATTAATGCACAGACTTTAAAACGTTAGGCATCATACACTTACCGGCTCTGTAAATAGTCACAGAAGAAACACTGGCCATCATTAAACAACTGAGGATCACAAACTACAAGAAGTTCCGATCAACAGAAACATGCGCCTTGTTGCTAGGAGACGCGTGACAAATGAAAACAATACGTGTTCTAAAATCGGCTCAAAATATCAAACATGTTTGATCTCCTCCGACTGGATGGAATCAGAGTCTGAAGCTAACAAATCGTCTGTGACCAACATAAACTACACCGATGCACTATTTTCAAAAGGCAACTTAAATGTGCAGCAAAATCCATCGCAACAAAAACTTAATTATTTCATGTAACAGGATTAAAATACAGCTAGATTTAAACATTCAGTAATGTTTGATAACTTACAAAGAAAATGTAACGTTAGTGGTGTTTTTTCTTCTTCTAAATAACCAATATCAACTAAGTTAACTGGGGAAAGTGTGACTTTAAGAAAAAACAACGATAATCAAAAACCAAAAAAAGCACACTTACCATAAAAACATTCCTTTGGATTATTGCCACGTGCTCTTCTTTCGAAGTTCAAAGCCTTGAAAAGTAAACGTTGACGTACTATACGCAACCGGCACGTACTGAGGGCGTGGTTTAGCGCGCGAGAGAAAACAATGCCGTCATCAGAAAACGTGCTGATAATATTTTTTAAATGTATGGTTTATTTAAAAATAACAATTCAATAGAACAGTCCATACGCGCTAATTGTGATCTGAACTAGTGAGATGAGCGCATAGACGCTCACTTCTAACGAAACTTCACAATTAAAAAAGTCTTCCTGCAGATTTAATTGTATGATTATTGTACTGTTATATTAGTATTATTATTGTACTATTATATTAATTGTATTATTATTGTACAATAATATATTATACAATTATACATTAGGCACGTTTTCTTATTAATAATAATAATAATAATAATTCTGTACACTTTTTAAGAATTACACAGTAAATAATAACAATAATAATAATAAGTAGCCTATTATTATTGTTATTTACTCTGTAATTCTAATAAAGTGTACAGAATTATTGTTGTTGTTGTTGTTGTTGTTGTTATTATTGTACAATATTATGATCTTACAATTATACATTAAGGAGCATTTTAGTTCTTTTAAAAATCACTAACTATTTTTCTTCATTGTCCTGAAGTAAACAAATGTTTACATTTTATTTCAAAAATTAGCATTTGTTTTTTTACTATATGGGTGGGCAGTTCCCTAATGAGATTGACTTAACTCAATTTTATAAGTTAGCAGAAGTTTCTTTGGATGAACTTGCAAAGCGCTGTTCACAAAACTCATCTTTTTAAGTTCATGGGAAAAAACTTGGTTTAAGCTGAATAAATGTATTAAACTTAGTTGTACTGACTTTTTCATGGATTTTTGCTGACCCAACACTACAAAACCTGTCATCTAAACTTGTTTCAAGTTGGGTTTTTTGAGTATATTATGGTCTGTGGCACAGTGGTAGATGACATGCGTCATGATGCAGGTTCAAATCTGAATCAAGTCTCTAGTCCAGGCCATTATGTTTGGGCTGCAGTGTTTTTTGTGCAGTCAAGTTACAGTCTTCATCTGTATACTCTGTAAGTATGACTATGCATAATATTTAAATATTTGAAGGATTAAATGCACATTGTGCTATCACAAATACTGTTGTTCACCAATTAATCACCTACCTATTCACCTGAACAGCAGCGGTAGTAATTTTGATTCACCCTTATGACTTGACTATTTTGAATCTATTCACCAGAAAGATTCATTCAGACATAAAGAATACATAGCTCACAGTAGATGTCGGTAATTGAGCATCTTTTATGTTATGAGTCACTGAATCACTGAATAAAAAGCACCAAATCACTGGCAATTGAAGAGAAAAGAAGATTTTTTCTTTCATATTGTGACAAATGTAATGGATTATTGTAAAAGAAAAAAAGCCTGCAAATCCCTTGCAGGAGTTTGGTTTAAGCAAATTAAATTTTGCTTAAAGTTTAGAGGAACAAAGCAATTTGTCAAATAATATTCACAATACACAATGCTAGGTTTATTAACCAACTAGATTAAGTGTTTTCCTCCACTGTGTGACCTGCTGAGCATGACTTTTTTTATTAAGCGAAACAATAAGAACAAAAATCGTCTAAAATTCATCATGGGTTACAATAACATTTTGGTGTCATTGTAATAAACTTGACTTGAGTCACATTTACACATCTTTCACAAGATAGCCTTTAAAGGTGGGAAAAGCCTTTCAAGCAGTCACACACTTCAAACTTACTCACCGTTCTCAAAAAAGAGAGACATCAATGAACAAGAAACACTTGTGACACTGTCACACAGGACACGTTTTAACCTGCTCAATGTATTATAATGATTTTATGTATATTTGAGTTTTAATAGGTTTTCATGTTGTCTTAGCCATTTTATTCCTCCTAACCATTTTAATGTGTGTATGTCTTTAAATGAGTCTGGGTTTGCCTGCCATGTGACTGATCACATGACAGAAAATAGGAAATGGACAGCATAAAGGAGGCAGGCATGCCAAACAAGCAGGGTCATTGCTTACGACCAGGGTTTAAATTGGGCCGGGGCCGTCCGGGGTTTGAGTCCCGGCACATTGACTCCGGGGCTCGACATTAACGTTTCATTAACGCCAGACAAGTGAGCATGCTGGGGTAAAAAATCAAAATGAAAAGTTTTTATATTTAAAATACAGTTAGTTAGGCAACATCACACAACGTTTTCACCATTACGACTGTTTAATAGTTCAATAAACATTTTAATAAGCAAGTACAATAATATTAGATCACTTACATTTTAGGCGGAAACATAGCGCATCTCACAGAAACCAGCTGATTCATTGCTGAATGATTCCCTGTTCTGAACGAATCGGTTGAGTCAAAGTCGCATTAGCCCATGCATAAACATCTGATGAATTAATATTTTCAATATATATACTGTATGTGTGTGTATTTATATATACATAATAAATATACACAGCACACACATATATTGCATAAGCAAAAACTTTTATTTTGGACGCAATTAATCGTTTGACAGCATATATATATATATATAATATATAATAAGCCCCAAACCATAGAGCATTTAACCCCTGCTTACGACCATTTGGTGATCACCTACATGCTGGATAGTGGAGTTATCTTTGTGGACTCAGCTTTCCAGCACTTTTGGATTATCACTTCTGTGGACTTTTTGTATATACACCAGTGGACACTTTGCACATTCATATTGGCTCTTACAGCATGCTAGGATTCTTAAAAGGGACATAACACACACAGTTTCACCCAATCTCATGTTGATCTGACTCAATGACTCACTCATTAAACGCTCACTACTGGCGTTTTAATTTTGTTTAAAAGTATCATTTCCACCATTTCTTGTTTGTATATTCAAAATTATTTAAAATAATCTCATAACATTATTCAATGAATTTGTAGATTAAATGTAAGAATTTGAAATGAAAGATTCAGTATTAATGAGGTTAGGGGGAAAATGCCCTCTATAAAGGTAAAAAATGCCCTTGGATTAAATATAAAAAGCATGCAGATTTATATGTTACAGCTGATAGAAAACTGATAAGAATATTGCTTCAGAATAAATCATATTTA